GAGGCCGAGCCCTTCTAATTGGCCTCTGAGCACGGCCTTGCACGGGTCGAGGGACGGGGATATGACGAGGGATCATGTGGAGAAGGAGGAGGTGAGGGGAATTGCGAGAAGGAGAGAGAGAGAGAGAGGGAAACATAGTCGGATGGAACAGGGTGAAGGTAGGAAACGGATGAGGGAGGATACATACAAATATACATACATGCATATATACATACATACATATTTACAAACAAACGTCCACACATCCACACATACGCATATATACATACATATATATACACACATCCAGACACGCATACATATCTATGATTGCGCACGCATGCATATTTATCGAAGATATCTACTTTACATATCGAAGATATCTACGGTGAATCATCGCCGCCCCCTGCCTTTGTGGAAGCCCCATATGGCCGACGGCTGGGCTAAAGCTACCGTATCATGTGTTCCACCAGTTGCAGGTGGAACCTTTCGGGGAACATGTGAGGATACGGAACATGAGGAGAAGGGAGCAGGAGTATGAGGAGGAGTTGGAGGAGTTGGAGGAGGAGGAGGAGGACGAGGAGGAGGATGAGGAGGAGCAGGATAAAGGGAGGAGGAGGAGGAGGAGGAGGAGGAGGAGGAGGAGGAGGAGGAGGAGGAGGAGGAGGAGGAGGAGGAGGAGCAGGAGAAGAGAAAGAAAAATAATGAGGACAACGCCTCGTGGAAGCCTCTTGGGGCACTTGGGGTCTCCTGGGAGCTTCCTGGGGGCCTCTTGGAGGCCTCGTGGGGGCCTCCTTGAGCCTGTTGGGAGCCGTTGGGGGCTTGTTCGGGTCCGCTTTGGCCGTCTCAGGGCGTTCCTGGCCCGCCGTCTTGGAGGCCTATCTTAACCGACACGGGGCCCTCTTGGGGCGCTTCAGGGCCGTCTTGGAGGCCATCTGTGGCGTGGAGGCCTTATTCCGTTCCATCGCCGCCTCAATGAGAAGGCTCGACACAAGACTGACGACGGCGCAGCCGAGTGCGAAGGATGAGGTACTGGGAGGGACGAAACGCAGAGCAGTGGAACGCGTGAGTAAGCATCAGGCCGCGGCAGGGTGCCAGTGAAGGACGGCAAAGGCGCCCTCTTGGGGGCCCTGGGCCCCAGATCGTGGCCTCTCGGAGCCCTCTTTGGGACGTCTTGGGCGCTTGTTCGGCCGACTGGAGGCCACCTTGGGCGGCTTGGGCCGATCGTGCAGCGATAGCGGGGCCCTCCTGGACCGTTTTGGGGCCTTTTCGGGCCAGCTGCGCCTCTCGGGGGAGTCCCCAGGAATCGCCAGGCATCTCCGGGAATCCTCTGAAATCGGTGGACATCCTGGGAATCCTTGTGAAACCAGTGGTTCGGGCCCTTTCTACAATTTTTGAAACTCTGCATTTCTCTTCGCTGCATGAGCCTTGGAGCGCTCCACTACGTGCTGAAGGCACGGTGGCAGATATATGTACATGAGTGTGTCGATGCTCCTGAAGCAGTACTTGCACTCAGGGCATCTGATTTCTGTTCTAAGGAACTGGCTCTGAAGGTCGGTCTGGCGGCTGTGTTGTCCCAGTCGCCGCCTCGTCGCCGCTCGTCGTCTCGGCCTAAAGGTCGGTGTGGCGGCTGTGTAGTCGCCGTCGCCGCCCCGTTTCCGCCTCGTCGCCGCCTCTCGTCTTGGCCTGTCTGACGGTCTGACGGCTATGTCGCCGCCGTCGCCGTCCCGTCGCCACCTCGTCGCTGCCTCCTCGTCGCCGCCACTTAGGTTGCTCCGCGTAGATTGATCATCATATATTGCAATACATTTATTGCACAATCTAGATCGCACCACATGGATAACGCAACATCGATCGTAGACCATTTATTGCACCGGCTATCATAGGATGTACCATATATATATGTATATATATATATATTGCACCACGTATTGATCCACATATATCGCATCACGCAGATGGCACAGCAGACATTGCACCACATATGTTGTCCCACAAACATTGCACCACACAGACTCACCACAATCGTTGCTCAACGCCTCGTGCACCACACATTTTGCACAATATATATATATATACACATATATATATATATATATATATATATATATGCTGCACAACGACGCAGAGCTCGCGCTCGCCGTGAGGGGATGGCGTGCGGGACTCCGCTCGCTTGCCCTATACGGCCTCTTGCCCAAGCTGCAGGCCGTGGGCGGCCTCTGGCGGGGCGCTCCTCCCCGAGCCCGCCCGCGCGCGGAGGACGTGGCGCCGACGAGGCGCGAGGTCGGCGCCGAGGAGGAGGTGCTCGCCGGGCGCGTGCCCCCCTCGGGCGGTTCTGACAGTGTCGGCTAGACGTAAGAGTGACCTTTCGCCGGGGTGACCTCTGGTGCGGGCCCAAGTTGGTCCCCCGATCGCCGAGCGCACTGCGATGTAAGCGGTTTGCGCGCTTGGGTTTGGCCCCCCTGCGCCCCCCTTAATGCCGCGCACCAAAGGTCACTCTTGCCCAGGGTCACTCTTGCGTATAGCCGACAGTGGAATAGAGCCTTGAGCCCGAGGCCCAATCGTGGGGTCCGCCACGAGCCCCCCTGCCTCCCGTGGAGCTGCCACGCCTATGTGAACACGCGCTCGCGGTGGGTTCCCGGGAGACTTCCTGGACGGCGCTCCGCGCGTGAAGAGGCGGGCGCCGCTGGCCCCGGGCGCGCCTGAAGGCGTTCCAGGGCGCTGCCCTGGACAGGCCCGGGGCCGTCCAGGGGCCGCCCAGGGGCGCTTCTTCGGGGGCGGAAAAGAGGGGGGGGATGACTAGGGGGGGTGGATATCATGGCGTGGGCCATGATGTTTCCCCAGATCTCATGGCGCCTCGTCTTGTTTCATTGCGTCCCTGGCTTCCCCGCTGGGCCGCGCACGTGCCGCCGGTCATGATTTGCACCCCCCCTCTTGGACACCCCCCTCTTGGCCGCTCCCGACTTCTGATCTCCCGGGGCGCTCCCAGGCCCCCCGTGGACCTTCCCAGGGCGCTCCTGAGCGGCTCCGCCTTCCCGGAGCGCTGTGGGGCGTTTTCAGGGCACCCCGCGGCGCCCGCCGCTGTGAATTTGCCGCCGCCCACGGCGCCTCTGGCGGCCGCCGCGGTGGATGACGCGCTGCCCGGGGCCCGGGGCGCTCCTGGGCGCCCCAGACGTCCCGCTGCGACTCTGGACCGCCGAGGGCCCCGCCAGGGCGCCCCAGGCGCCCGCCGCGGTGAATTAGCTGCCGCCCAGGGTTCCCCGCCCGCCGCGGCGAATTGGCTGCCGCCCAGGGCGCAGGTTCCGTTGCGATCCTGGACCTCCGAGGCAGGGCGCCCCCAGGGGCTCTGCCATGCAGGTGCTGCCGCGACCGTGCCCGCGCGTTGTAGCGGGGGGGTGCCAGGCCCGCCCCCTCGCGCGTCTCCCCTCCAGCCGCTCGAAGTTCGCGCCGAAGGCGGCCTCGTCGACGAATCCAATCTCTTCAGCGGGGGCGACCCCAACGGCGCAACCCAAAGCCGAGGGCGAATGCAACTGCCATGCGCATCGCCGTCAGCGAGATGCCCTACGGCGCAGCCGCTCGCCCAGGGCCCACGGGGGCCCATGGGATTGCCGCGCCAGCGGCAGCCCATCGCCGCAATTCAACGCCGAGGGCAAATGCGGCAACCCATGGCTATGCTGCGCCAGCGGCCGCCCTCCAGCCTTCGAACGTGGCGCCGATCGTTTCAGCGGGGGCGACCCCAACGGCGAAACCCAAAGCCGAGGGCGAATGCAACTGCCATGCGCGTTCCCTCCAGCGACCTGCCCAACGGCGCAGCCACTCGCCCCGGGCCCGCGGGCGCCCGTGGGATTGCCGCGCCAGCGGCGACCCAGCGCCGCAATTCAACACGGAAGGGAACTGCGGCAACCACCCATGGATATGCCGCGCCAGTGGCATCCCGACGGCGACGCTCAAAGCCGAAGGCGCGAGTGGCTGCCCGTTCGACGAGGCGGCCTCGCGCGCCTGCGCCAAGCGCCCTGCGCGCGTGCTCGCGTGGATGCGCATTGCCCCGGCCGCGTCGGCATGCGCGCTTCAGCCGCGCCGCTTGCGCGCGCCGCTCGAAAGCCCGCCGCGATGGGGGGGGGACCCTAAGCCCGCTTTGCCCTAGGCGGTCTGGGGCGGGGGTGCAATTTCCCTGGCGCGCGCGGCTTGGGCGGCGATCTCCCCCGACAACATACATTGGTGCTGGGGGGGCGCGGCCAGCGCGCGCGTGCGCCCGTGCAGGTCCTGAGCCCCAAACCCGAAACCCTACAACGTAAACCCTAACACTCTAAACCCTAATCCCTAAAACCTGACCCTTAAACCTTTGTGTTGCAATAACTTGCGTTCCATTTCTTTGCAATCGCCTTGCGGTGCGTTGGGCTGCTTTGCGCTGCTGAGGATTGCTTTGCCCTGCTGCGAATTACCTTACATTGCGTTGTATGCTTCTGCGTTGTTTTGCCGTGCTTTGCATTGTTTTGCGTTGCGTTGCGTTTCGTTGCGTTGCATTGCTCTGCGTTGTGTATTGTGTCGCATGTTTTTGCGCTGTGTCGCGTTAGGTTGTATTGCGTTGCGTCGTTCAGCAGTCGAACTGCGTTGCCGTGCATTGCGCTGATTTGCTAAACCAATGATTTGCGTTGCTTTGCTATGCTTCGCAGTGCTTCGCATTCGCAATGCATTGCCTGATTTTGGGTTGTTTTGCCAAGCGCTGTTTTGTCTTGCGTGGCGCTGGGTTGCGTTGCGCTGGTTTGCCTTGCGTTGCATGGCTGTGCATTCTGTTGCTTTGGTGCAAAAATGCAAGCCAGGGCAACGCAATGCCAATCAATACAAAGCAATGCAAATCAATTCAAAGCAATGCGGAACAATGTAAAGCATGGCCCAGCAATGCAAAGTAATGCAAGCTGTTGCAAAACAGTGCAATGCATTGCGACTGCAACGCAGTGCGATTGCAATAATGGCGCAAAGCAGTGCGAATCAATGCAAAACAATACATGCCACTGCAACGCAATGCGAGTCAATGCAAAGCAATGCAACGCACGGCGTAGCAGTGCAAAACACTCCCGAG